AAGGGAGTGTTAGAGTTCTTCATTTTAAGTTTTATATTTATGTAAGATAATATTGTGATTACCCGAGATAGTGTCAATATAAATAATAGAGTATAGGGCATCATGAATAATATACACTAATTATTCTTTTCACTTCTCCTGCTTGTCTCATTCTTCTTCTCTCTTGCAAGCCCTAATATCTCTTTTACTATTTCAACTAACCTCAATCCCTAGGAAGTACCAAAAAAGACCTAAGTCTTTGATATGAAATTATTTACCCAAATAGGCCTTGAAGAGGGTAATACCATCTAAGTTATTACAACTAATAATGATGTCATCCACATACACAACAACAACAACAATAATGTCTACAGAAGCCCGACGAATAAAAACTGAATGATTTGAGGTAGAGTGTTGAAACTCAAATTGAAGCACCATAGTCCTGAACTTATCAAACCAAGCATGTGGTGCCTGTTTCAAGTCATACAGTATTTTCTTCAAACAACACACTAATTACTCCTGAATTGAAATAACAACACTAAGAGGTTTAATCATATAGACATACTCTTGTAGATCTCTGTGTAGGAAGACATTTTTTATGTCCAGTTGATACAAGGACCAGTCAAAACTGACTGCAACAGAAATAAGAACTCTTACAAAGTTAAAACAGACAACAGGAGAGAAAGTCTCACAGTAATCTACACCATATGTTTAGGTATAGCCCTTAGCAACCAATCATACCTTCAAACACTCAACTGAGCCATTAGGATGATATTTTATAGTGTAAACTCAACGACAACTAACAAGTTGTTTCCCAAACAGAAGGTTACAAGTATGATTGTCATGAAGTGCCTTAATTTCTTTATCCTTAATCAGTTTACATCCAAGAGATGTTAATGACTATTTCAAAGATTTATGAACAAATACAAAAGACAAGACTGATGCAAAACAACAAAGAGGTGAGGATAGCAGATGCAAAGAGACAAAATTAGAGATAGGATGCTAAATACAAGTATGAGTACCTTTTCGCAATGCAATAGGAAAATCAAAAAAGGGTGAGACAGTATGCGTCTCAGGAAGAAGGACCTTAGAAGAATCAGATAGTGGTCAGGGCACTGGAGCATATGAAACAACTTCTCTGTCAATTGAACTACGGCAAACCTGCAATGTAGGGTTAAAAGACGATGATAGAGAAGAGACATAATTAGGTACGCTAGGCAACATGAGCTCCCACTAAGTAGTAGAGATCAAATTGGGGAAAAGAATAGTTCCTGAACTAGAAAGAAAGGTGGCATCGACATGACATAATATTGACGAGCCGCAGGGTCATAACAACAATAGCCTTTCTGAGTATGATAGTATCCCAGAGAGACACACTTAACCAAGGGTAGGGAAAGTTTATCCTGACTCAAACCAAGAAGGTGAATAAATGAAACACAACCAAAGACCCGAGAACTGAGACCAAAATGTGATGTATCAGAGTAGAGCAAGGAGAATGAAGATTTATTACTCAAGATGGGGGAAGGCATCCAATTAATAAGATAAACTACAGTGAGAATAACAATTCCCCAATAAGGTTTAAGCACATACATGTTAAATATGAAGGTATAAGCAACATCTAATAAATGAAGATATTTGTGTTCTGCAACACCATTTTGATGGGATGTATATGCATATGTAGTTTGATAAATAATATCATGATTAACACAAAATATATCCATAAAGGATTGTACATACTCAAGGACATTATCATAATGAAATATCTTAATACGTTTATCAAACTGTACAAGAATTTTATTGTAGAAAGTAAGAAAAATTTTAGGCAATTCAGAACAATCCTCCATAAGAACCAAGCTAAGTCATAAAGTAATCATCAATAAAGATCACAAAATAATGAAATCTAGAAATACCTTTTACTCTTGAAGGCTCCCAAATGTCCGAGTGAATAATAGAAAAATGACTAAACTGACGATTCGTACTACTACTAAGGAAAGAACTATGGTGATGTTTGCCTAATTGACAAGTCTCGCATTCTAACATAACAGAATGACTCAAATTAGGAATAACTTGAAGAAATTTTTCCAGTGAAGGGTGACCCAATAGAAAATGTCACTGGAGAGTAAACATGGTAACATTCAAGGCAGAAACTGATGCTCTGAAATCCAAATAGTAAAGTCAATTTTACTCATGCCCCAAACTAATCACTTTCTTCGTCCGGAGGTCTTGAAAAATACAAACAAATGGAGAAAATATCACTGAACACCGTAAAGACTTAGTTAAATGACTCAAAACAAATAAGTCAGATGCTCATGACATAGACTTAGTAGGATGGAGATCATGAGTCTCGCGTAATAGTCTAAAAGAACCATCAGCTAACACAATATGAGAATTAGAAGAACAATATTAGAAAACAATAATAAAATACCAACCATGTAGGTACTAACTCCTGAATTAATAATCCAAGATGGTGAAGCTCAATGGGATGCCTTGTGCAGAATTACCCCCAGTGACTAAACCAGCAACGACTAAACCAGCAGCTGCTGGAGAGAATTAAGACAAGTTTTCAATGAGATGACTCTGCTGAAAAGTGAGATCATCATCAGAGCCAAACGTAGATGTAACATGTGCACCAGTCGATGGTTAAGACATAGGAGGAGTCGGGTCATAGACACTTGATTAGCATAGACTAGTTTTCCATGTTTATTCCAACAATAATCCTCAGTATGGCTAGTAGTTCCACAATAAGAACACCTCTACTCAGAATGATTTTCATGACTACCACGACCTCCACAACCATTACCTCTACTACCACAATTGCCACCTTGGGGTGGATGGCAACCAAGACCACCATTACAACTACCATCACTAGAAAATAAGACAGATGACTCCTTGGAGGACAGAGGAGTTTCACGAGTCAGAGAGGCACACTGAAGACATAAGTAAGCATTAGCAGCAATTGAAAGTTTTTCACTAGCCAAAATTTGATATTTAAACACTTCATATTTAGAATTAAGACTGGACAAGACTAAAGCAACTTGAAACTCTTCACATAGTCGTCGTTATATATTTAGGTCTGTACTCAATGACTGATAAGATAGAAGTTCCTCCCATAACCCTTTCAAAATATCATAATGTTCAACAAGTGATTTGTTACCTTACTTGGTATTAATTATCCACTCAAACAGTTCATAAATTACACACACATTATATTCTTGGGAGTACATCTCCTCAAGTGAGTCTCATATTTTCTTGGCAGTGTCAAAGAGTTGAACATTAGAAGCTACTGAGGGTTCCATGCTAAGCCACAACCAAGTGATCACTAAGGAATTCTCACTCCACCAATCTTCGAAATCCTTTGAGGTCTCAGGAGGGGGGCTTTCGGTTAAATACTTGACTTTCCTTTCTGCACGCAAAAAAACCTTAATAACATAGACCCAAGAATAATAATTGTGTCCATTTAATTTGACCGAAGTGATCTGTCGAATGTGATCATCAATGGAAGGAACATGTTGAACCGAAGCACCAGCCGAATTATCTTTGACATCCTCCGAAGTTGCCAAAGTAAATCCCACAATACTCTAAGCAATAATAAAGAATATAGGAGATAAGAATCGTCAACCAACAACAAATACACTCCGAAGAAACCCACCAAAAAAAAAAAAAATAAGACGGGTCTTAATACATTGTAACAATGTATTAAGATTTAGGGTTAGAAGAGAGGGAGATAAACGAAGAAGCGGAAATAATGAGAGAGCGAAGGAATGAAAATAATTAGTAGTGTATGGCTAGGTTGCCCTATACTCTTTTTTTATAATTGAGCAATATTAAGATAATTACAACATTACCTTAGACTAATTATCTTATATCTAATATAAAAACTAAGAACTCTAACAACAACCATTATCTTTTTTTGCTATGAAACATAAATTTAATATTCAACCAAAATCATGAAAAAGTAATCAGAGGACAGGGAGTACTCATGAGAAAAGTAACATACAAGAAAGATACAATAAAATAAAAAGAAAAGCTATGAGCATAGCAAAAGAAGAATGACAACAAAACCCCCAACCTCAACAACTAGCACACACTTGAGGCAAGTGATCCTTAATCAAGAAATATAGAACCATTATGCTTCAACTTAAATTAAATTTTGCAATAATTGTATATGCATTCATTTTAAGGTAAAATTAAACATTGATGTTCATGAGTACCATATTGGGAACAAGGATAATATCTCATCAGATCAAATTATACAGATCATAGAGCAAAGATATCTTGTAGCAATGATTGTCATGACATAGCAAGACACAGTTGGACTGCAAAGAACCAAGGTTGTTACTTTCAGTAGGAAATATTATTTTCAAATTTCAATAGCAGACAATCTAATTTAGCACTCATCATGCAAAGCTTGTTTTAAATCCTCAACTTGAATCATTTAGGCCCAAATTAACTCCTCCACAAGGGCATTCATTCCCAATATACAAACAATTTTTTGGTCTTAGAATATGGTGTATCAAAACAAACGTACCTAGCATTTTTTGGAAATGACGGCATAGTATCTTTCCTTTCCATAACGAACAATTAAGGAAGAATAGAGAAAAAAAATTGAGAAATTTGAAGTGCAGATTACAAAAAGAAGCATTTGGATGGTTTGTTTCACGTGCATCATCTTAAGGCAGAAAGAGTCCTAGGATAACTTAAAGCTTTTGAGAAGAATTGACTCATCATACAAGGAAAGAAGGACATCATTACTGGATGCATGATCAGCACCTTTTCCCACTTTTGAGCTAAGTATGAAATTCATCAGTATAATGCCAGCACTAATTTGTTTGGAGGTATCTTAAGAAGCTTAATTAACTGCAAGAAGCATAAAAATTGCAGGTAACCATTCAAGAGAAAAACATGACATGGCCATTAGTTGCAGGTTCATTCGAGAATAAACATAGCATTAACAAATCTGGACAAAAGACTTTGTGGCTAACTAAAGGAAGCTAGTAACAGTCGCTTGTAACTGCAGGACTTCAAGTAAAAGAATCTATCAGCTGAGAAGAGGATGAGATTACCTTGTGGGCCACTGGAATTCTTCTAAAAGATCTTTCAAATCTTTTTACATCCTCCTCGGCAGCCTCCAGATAGCTGCATCAAATCAAGTCATAATTATGGTCAGTACTTGAATTATGCCATTCACTCGGGGCTAACATATAATAATTACAGACAAAAAAAAGTAAGAGAATATGGAATAAAACATTATTGCTCAAACGGATCCCATTAATCCAGAGTCCTAAGAGGTTATCAAAAAGATTTACCACTACACTAGGCAATGCTCCTCTCCCCCCCCCCCCCAAAAAAAAAAAAAAGAGGGGGGGGGGGGGGGGGGGGGGGGCCTAAGACCCATTATACGATTGGATCCTGGTTAATCAGTTTATTGGTGCTCGACCATTTTCCAACTACAGTAGACAATCCCTCACAAACTGAAATAAAAGACACGTACCAAAAACTAAAGATCACTGGGAGTGCCCACTTGTAAAACAACAGTATATCAGATGAACTGTATGATGAAATTCAACTACAAAAATCAAACAAATTTGTCACCAAAACGAGTGTATAGACAAAGAATTATCTTGGGGCTTCTTAATTTCTGTGTTTACAATTTACACGAATAGATTAACTCCAATATATAAACGTATGTATATAAGTGCGTGCGCGTGTGTGCGCGCGCGCATGAGAGAGAGAGAGAGAGAGAGAGAGAGAGAGAGAGATGTACTTGAGGTAGGCGCTGATGATACGCCTTAGGGATTTGGCTTCGAGGGCTTCTTCAATCTTTCTCCGCCGCAGTTCAGCCTCTTCTTCGGTCGCCGAAGACATTCTTTGTCACTGGGACCAAGAAGACGAAATCAGTCCTCTTTTACCCACCTTGACGATGAGCGTCTATTTTAAAGATACACTTTTACCCAAAGGGCTAATCTCATTTTTCACGCCAAAAAGATATTTTAATTTTTAATTTATATCTTTAAATATTAAAAAATTTAATTTATAACCCCTAACTTATAAATTAATAATAATTTGGGTCAAAATGTCATTCAATTTTCCATCAAAAATTGAAGCTATTGAAGCACAAGAGCTTCGGACATAGGCTTATGTCTAAATTCACAAACTTTCGACTCTTCATGTAAGTTACACATGATAGAATTAGTCTCTATTTAATGAATGAAATCCTATTTTTTTATACAAAAAGTAGTCCCAAATTAATCACAAACAAAGATATGCAGCAATAAGCATACCTCATTTTCATGTCCACTGCACTTACACCTCACATGCTTCAATTTATAATAATAAACTGAGTGGCAGTATAGATCAAGTACACATTACTACCATAACATTGAATATTTGTTAAGGTGTAAAATAAAATTAGTTTTTTACCCAACAGGTTAATGTAATAACGTCACTCCATAGTTTAACTATCCAATAAAAAATAATTATATGAATAAGTGAATCTCGTATAATTTAGTAACCAACCCTCCATATAATACAATAAGCGAAAATTGGTAAAAAGTATACCAAAAATTGTTTTTTAAGCTAATAACTCAATAAAGGCACTTCAGGTTTTTTTTTTTTTTTTTTGTTGTCTTGTAGTCTAATCTAACTAAATCTTTTACTTATTACCATCGTTTGTTGACTTTATCCTTCACGTTATTTGGCATTGCTTTTTCTTCGTAACAAAGAAACGAGTCAAATGAGTCCATCAAACAAGTTTCATATAGACTCAAAAAAAAAAAATGGAGTCATTGTATAAGACAACAGAACAGACCGTCTCTAGCAAGTTCACGTTGGAAACCGGTTGCGACGGCAACCCCCATGCTAATAATGACGAAGATCGAATAGTTTGTTTTCATAACCAAAAAATTCCACCCTGTAATTGGGATTTTCGAGCAAGACCATGGAGATGATGAAGAGCTTCATTAAAGTCATCTTCGAGAAGTTAGGGGACTTTGTATGTCACCAAATTTACTAGTTTTTTAAATTTAAAACATAAATTTATCTAATTTTCCATAGCATGAATTTATCTGTGTTATAAATTTTGTTTTCCATGATTTTGTAGATGAATTTATCTGGTTTAATAAATCTTAGATTTTTAAAAAAAATTTATATTAATAAAACTTTGATTTCCATTATATGTATATGAATTTATATTCTAAACTTTTTTTCATGATTTTTTAGGTGAATTTATCTGTTTTAATAAAATTTAGATTTTTAAAACTAGAATTTATTTGTATTACTAAAACTTTGAATTCTATTAAATGTAATATTAATCTATTTTGTATTACCAACTTTGATTTTCATGATAATTTTGTTTTAAATTTATCTATTTTAGTAAATCTTATATTTCTACAACTATTTTAGGTCAATTAATCTATATTATAAACTTTATTTTTCATGATTTTTTTGGTGAATTTATCTGTATTAATAAAAATTTAATTTTTATTATATGTAACATAAATTTATCTGTATTATAAATGCTTACTTTATTTTTCATGATTTTTTAGGTGAATATATATTTTTTAATAAATCTTAGATTCTGCAAAACTTTTTACATCAATTTATCCGTATTAATAAAACTTTGATTTCCGTTATATGTAATATGAATTTTATTTATAAACTTTGTTTTCCATTATTTTTTTGGGGAATTTATTTGTTTTAATAAAACTTAGATTTCTAAAACTACTTTAGGTGAATTTATCTGTATTAATAAAATTTTGATTTCCTTTATATGTAACATGACCTTATTTGTTGTCATCATAGTACATTGAAAAAGTGAAAAAGATTTTTTTACAGTCATTAGATGAAATCAAAACAAAAATATTCTGAAAATAGTGAAATAAGCGTTAAACAATATTTTTGTCAAATATTAACGAAGAAATAGAGAAAATAAATACATTATATAATGTATTTCTCAAAAATGACTGGCGTATGATTCTCAAAATTTTACTGGTAACCTTAATATTCTGAATGATCTCTCAAAAAAAAATTGATTTAATAGCTCTGTGATCAAGAATCCTATAATGCATTTTTGTAACGATCGAGATTCTGAGTTTATTAAGTGGAAGATAATTTGATGTTGATTCTGGATACAAATCACGATTGAGAGGGAGTAGAATGCACCTTTTTTGTTCTTGATTTATAGCAATCGTGTTTCAAAATCAATGAGAAATTAGGAAAGGTAATATGAAAATACATGAAGTTTCTTGGATTCGTGCACAGTAATTGCCTTCTTAAAGAGTGTTTTTTGTCCATTGATTATTTTGTGGACTGTTGAACCCAAAAGATGTTGGCGTATCTTTAAAGGACGGAAAGGTGGGCCTGTGATCCCTTTTTAAGGAAGTATGGTTGACTTCTATCTATTTAGTTATTTTAATTGAATAACGACATCACATAACGCTGATGACGTGGTATATTTATTCCCAGTGCATCCTACTCCCACGCCCTCTCGTCAAGCCAAACTAATTCAATCTAATTCAAAATCCATTGCAAACCCAAATTCCAAAAATTGAATCACATTATCTTGAATCCATCGATTCGCCTTTAGGCACACTTATAGTGCACAACCCCCAATACCACAAGTTCACCCCATCACAAAGACAGAACACTCTACAATGGCTTTTGGAAGTTATTGATAATACACTATTTATTCAAGTACTTAGGACCAATTTTGCATGAAGAGAGGGTGTTCAAGAATTTATATACATACATCTAATCTTATTTAACTCGAGCATAACTCAACTTCTTAACTTATGCTCAATAAAAACACTAAAGTAGAGATCTAAATTTTGACTAACCTCTATCTTGAAAATCACTTAAAAACATGTTCTATTTGCTAAATGCGACCGAGACTATTTGAGAAAATGGTATCATTTGTGTGTGTGTGTTTGTTTGTCTATTTTAGTTACTTGGGTCAACACATTGAATTTATTTTTTGGAATTTGTTGGCTCGTTTTTGTTAGAGACTAGCGCTCTGCTAGTCGGGGTGTGAAAAGTGCTTAATTGTATTGTTCTAGCAATGCCACATTTTAGATAGTCGTCGTGCCTGACCAACTGGATCATGATCATGTAGAAAAGTAATTAGATACCATAGAAGTTCGAGGGATCAACCCTTCAAAGCTTCTGTCAAAAAGGGAATAAAGGTGTTTAATGTATTTTGAAGTTGATAATGCCATACCTAAAGCGTCACTTGGAGCTTACTCAATTGTTTTTTTAAGTGATTGAGGTGTATTAGGATTGGAGTCGACAGATGTTGAATGTTTTTGGAAGCTAAGAGTGGCATACTCGATGCAATGGTCGGAGCTTATTTATAGGTGTCTAAGTAGTTGAGTTTTATCAGGATTGCATTTGAGCCTATTGATCCCCATTTTGATTTGTTTTAGGCCTTTTACCACTTTGGATGTGCTTGATCATTAGCTATTAGATTGAATTCATCCAATGTGCATATTCACTGTTGTTATTCTATTAGGACTAGAATTCTTTCCAAGGCTAGGTTGAGTTGATTGAAGTGGTTTGAATTGTGCAGAGCTAGTCCTTGGACTGGAGCTCTTTTAGCCAAATTGATTTGGTCTGCCAAGAAGAGTTGCTTAGGCGAGCTGTTTCAAATTAGTTCAACTCAATAAAACCTTGTCCAAACATTTATACGAGCTATTCAACAAAAATTTCCTCTATCATATTCTATTGGTTTTAATAGGCATTGTTGCGTTTCCTTTTAGCTTAACTACATATATGTCATAAAGTTTATTAGCTTCTTCTCTCCAATGTGTCTATAGGGTTCTTTTATATTAAATGATGGAAAAGAACTTATTAACTACAATGGGTAGTTCAAGTGATAACAAGGATGAGTTGTAAACTCAGACGTTCTGAATTCGAATCTTGGCAACCCCATAAGGTCAAGTTATGAGAGATTTATCCCTCATAAATACCCTAGTTCCAACATGAATGAATTGCCTTTAACCGGACCAGAGAGGGGATTAGTGAAGATCTACATAAGCTAGTCTGAATACCCTTGACTGTTGAGCCAAAAAAAATGAAAGAGAACTTATTGTGTATTCTACTTTTGTAAGAGATTTATACTGGCTATTTATGATGAGATCGAGCATTCATTCTAAACAGGTTCTACCAAAACCAATTTTTTTAGACTCTAACAATAAATTTTTACACTAAAGTTTGATTCATTCTAACTCTAGTTTTGGGACCCCCAAAAAATGTGTTATTTTCATGTATAGAATGGGATCCGAATTCTAGTTTTTGGATCGTATTCAGGTTGAGTTTATAAAAAGGGATCCGAATTCGAGTCGGACAAAGTTTGATCTGAATTCAATCAATTGACTAACGCAATCGTAATTATACAATGTATTAATAATACTTCATTAAAAACTTTTGCCTTAGGCCTCAGTTTGTGTCGCCCACCCTGATGCACCAATACTACATTTAATCCTAAAATTAAATATGGTGTAACCACATTACTTTATCTTCAAAAATAATAACAAAGAAATAAAAAATATTCTGGACTAAAATTTTTCACTTTGATTGAACTAAGCATTAAAAGAAAATCTATACATGTATCTCTCTTTCTGTTGCTTCATCCTGGAGGAAGGTTGCAAATAATTGATAGATGGGATTGCGTTTCTATGCTTAAGAGATAATTTGCAAAGAGGTTGTTGCAAAACTTTGGATTGTAACTATCATAGATGGCTTTAAATAGCATTGTTAGGGTCTACAATCACCCAAGAAGAAAGGGAGACATCTTGCAATAGATCCTCAGCCGGACTACTTTGTACTTTGTGTTGAAAAAAAGTAAAAATTTTGAAATATTGGTCTTGTAT